GCAGAGAGGGTTACGTTATTTTAAAGATACACCAAAAAGGACAAACCAATCTGTTAGTTTATCAAGCATTTTCTGAACTGTGTATGAAGCTTTGAAGACCTATATAATTAAATCACAAGCACAATTCAACAGAAGTTGTGTAAGATAGATCTTTGTCAATTCTAAATTAATTCGTAGTATATCTGCACCACAATCAAATCTACATTACAAGAAGAATGAATGTAGTTCTTTGGTTACTGACAATACTGTTTTCTTGTCTAGGAAGAATATTCAAGAATAGCAGCTAGGTGTGAAAAAGCTCTATCATGTTCCCTCCTCCTCTCTAAAAAAAAAAAGCCTTGAGAGAGTCTCCAAAATTTCCATACTCAATGTAACAGGCAACTAATAGCACTGCCACAAGTGGAATAGGAGTTTTGCTGCTTACAATTCTTTTATGTCATAACTATTTGGAAGCCTCTGCAAAATCTACAGATTTTGATGAATTATGACACTTTCATGGCACTCAGGTAAAACAAGTACTGTAAGAAAAGGCCATTCATGTGTCTCAGGACACAATGTGCTACTGCAGTTAAGTGCACAATTCAAAATACTGATAAGAAGAGACATTTAGGTACAATAGTATTTTTTGCCTCTGCCTTGCAATAGCAAAATCTCTTTCTATTGGTACTAAAGTTTCCTACCTGAGGGAGCTTATAGTGAAGGCAGCAATTGGTTCTTCGTTCTTTGTCCAGGGAAGAATCTATAGATTCAACGCTTGTGAAGAAGCACAACTCCACAATAAACCTGTTTATACAGATAAGGATCTAGCCCTAAAGCCACCTCTTTTTTACATATTCACGTGTGACAGTTAAAATACAATATAAACAGGTCTGATTTTTAATTGCTTTCACACACAGAGCCATAAGAGCCTTCTGGGCAGTTCTTGGAAGGCACATTTTAGAGCCTTCAGCTATACAAACAACTGTTTCCAGTTAGAAAGTAACCTTGAAAAAGTGGATAGAAATGAAGAATCATTGATAGTTCTTACTTACTTTCTTCACAGACATCCATGAAGTCTTTAACAGTATCTGTTGGCTTCTGTAGCATCTACATTTGCAAAAAGTGGCTAGCACAAGCAGCTTGTATTTTCATACCTTGCCCTGTAATGCATTTATTACCAAGACCAACCACATGGGAAAAAGGCACATTTCAAGGTCCTTACACCAAGTTAACAGGTTTTGGACAAATTGTTAAATTTTTCCTTCCAGCACAAAACCACAGCAAACGCAGTGATTTTGGAAGAAAAAATCCGCAGTTATGGGCTGGGGTTTAACTTGCCTTTAGAGTTAGTAAGAAAACTTTTCATGGATGTGTGAATAAAGAAACCTGCAGTCATAATAATGCCAACATGGCTAATCTGGAATAGGGATGCTCGTGAAGTATAGGTTTGTTTGCAAACTCTCTTACTTTCTGATTACGGTATCTATATTACCTGCATAGAGACTTAAAAACAAGAGAAATAACATGAGAGCCAAGAACTTTTCTGCAGAACTCCTTCAGTGATTATAATTTTGCAAGACCCTTTCTTGGCAGAGGTTTTCCACATGCATCTAACTAAATAGTCATCTAAATGGCACAAATGCAGTACTGTGGAGTATTGCATAGAGCTGGGGAAAGCCTATCTGCTTCGCTCTAGGGATGGAAAGACGCCAGATGGGGAATCCTGACTACACAGCCTTTCTAAAGGAAAGTGATGTGAATTTTCATTGCTCACGGGTATAATATTTTATCTCGTAGCAGATGATGCTATAAACAGACACGTTCTGCTTTGCTTGGGTGTTTTACAGGAGCAAGTTCTGTGCAGTGACCTGGTAGCCTGATAGATTTTTGTCAATCAGTAGCTTCATAAAGGAAAAAAAAAGAAGTAATTACCTTAATACTTTTACTGTCTCTGTCCATGTCTCCTGCTCACTCTCCCATGGATCAACTCGAATCCAGTCCGATGTCTCCAGTGCTAGTTTAGCCATTGCTATCCGGTGTCTTGCTGAAACCAAGCCTTTCTTTCTGTACTCGTCATTAACAGGAGACATTATGCCTTCAATCACCTGATATCTTCCTTTTGGAAAAAAGAAAAGAAAAAAAGAAAAAAGCCATCTTCATAGAACCTTGAAAATTTAGCGTGGACAGGACCTTGGGAGATCATCTAGTACAACTGCTTCAAAGCATGGTTAACTTCAAAGTTATAAGAGACTATGAACAACTTGATCTAGGTATTATTTTTAATATAGAAACATCAGTTTAAAAAATTAAAAAGCAGCCTTCTTTTTCCTCTGTAAACTGCTCACAATTACTATCAACACATTTAAACTATCAAATGATTCAAAAAGGAAACCTGGATGAATATACAATTTTCAAACAAGCAGAGATTCTTATAATTTATAACAAAAACTACCAAAATCACTAGATATAATTGTTTTATATTCTAGTAAATACAGCTTTTATATAGGCAGAGTAATGGATGACTTAAGTGACCACTGCTTTGTTCTTAAGCATCTGATACTTGTTATTTATCAAAATCATTGTGCCTTTTCATTGTGTTAAAGCAAGAATTATAGCATATTAATGCAGCTATGATTAATGTGATTCAGACAAATCAGAAGATTCGAGAAGAAAGACAGGGCTAATGGAGTCTAAAATGAGACTTACAGCACTATGGTCCAAACATCAGCTTAGCGGCTATTAAAGATCCTTTCTATCTGGCCGATCGTGTTAATTAAATTTGAAAATATGCCCATATTTTTCTACTCTTGTAACATAATGTAATCATTAACACAACAAGCTCTTTTTGTTAGACTTTGAAGTTCTGGCCTCAAATCAGGAAACAAAAATGTAGCTCTCATTTTAATAAATCAACAGGGAAATAAAGCACTGATATGAGCTGCATCGCCCAAGAAACAAAGAGGAGAGAAAGGGTGTTTCAAATAAACAGAAATGAAACAAAATGATTTCTAGTGCAACTAGAGTGACTATGATAAGTATGATACTGAAGGGGAAAAAAAATTGCTTTCCTTTTTTCTAATTCAATTGTTTCAACAAAGAAACTTAAATGCAGTAAGTTCCCTCTACTGCTTTGTAATGAAAATGATACACCTGGACTCATAATTTCTGATACTGGCACACAACAATTTAATATTCTAAAACAGCAATTTAGTAACTTCACATTTATATTGATGTAATAGGGTAAAATTTTCAAAAGAACTTAAGTGAGTTGAAACTTACAAAAAATAGCATTAAGATTTAATGAGATTTACAGGCCTGTCTCCTGTTAAAAAGTCAGTCCAAGTTACCCTCTGTTTTAAAACATTCTCATTATAGGCAAAATTATAAATTTTGCAATTTTTGAGCAAGGTAAAATTTTTCAGAAACATGCAAGATGTGACCTGAACTGGCCAAAGGGATATTCCACACCATATGACATCATACTCAATATTTAAACTGGGAGACGTTCAGAGTTACGGCATTTTGTCTTCCCAAGTAACCATTATGCATGATGGAGCCCTGCGTTCCTGGAGATGGCTGGACACCTGTCTGCCAAGGGGAAGTGGTGAATGAATTCCTTGTTTTGCTTTGCTTTGCATGCAAGGCCTTTTGGTTTTGTCTTTATCTCAACCCATAAGTTTTCTTACTTTTACTCTTCCAGTTCTCTCCCCCATCCCACCAGAGGGGAGCGAGAGACTGACTGTGTGGTGCTTAGTTGCCAGCTGGGGGTAAACCATGACACCAAGGAGACATTTCAAAGAGCTTTCCTCTGTGAAACATCTGCAATACCTATTTTTAAATCAGGACCCACTCTTTTGCTTTCACTGAAATGAAGCTAATCTCTGCACAGTGAACCAAAAGAACATTCTCCTAATTAGTGGTGTCTGTATTGTGCCAGACACAAACATGAGAGAATTCCATTCTAGTCCCCAGAAACAATAAAAATCTCCTTCAAATGTGTCTTGTGGCATTGGCAAATATATGTTCCTATGTGACAAAAAAACACACGTTATAAAAAAAAAGAGGTTGTTAGCTCATTGTTTTAATTACAATAGCTGAAGAAACTTTTGAGTTCTAGTTCATGCTTTGGACTGAGCATCATTGTGAAACAAATACGTGTGAGGGAGCCCTGCTTGCCTGGAGGCAGCTGAACAACTGCCTGCCAATGGCAAGTAGTGAATGAATTCCTTGGTTTGCTTTGCT